CTTCACCTTGCGTCAATTGTTGAAGCACCGTCATGCGTATTGGCAACCCACCGTTGTCGTGTTTCTTGACATTAAAGGTGCCTTCGACTCAGTCGATCGATGTGCCCATTGGGACTGTCTGCTGAGGAAAGGTGTGCCTGATAAATACGTAAACATTATCAAAGCGCTGTACGCGCATAGTTCCGGCAGAATGAGGGTTTATGGCAAACTGTCGCCGTCTTTCACTATACTCAGTGGTGTGAGACTAGGTTGCCCGATGTCACCTTTCCTCTTTAACTTCACTATTGACCAAGTCATGGAAATAGCATTCGCTGGACACGACCTAGAAGGTGTGGAGCTACTTCCAGGTGAGCGACTTCTTGATTTGGAGTATGCGGACGATATTGCCCTAATGTGTGATAGCTCCCAAACATGCTAAGCCTCACTGGACCGATTAGCACTGTCTGTCTATGGTTTGTTTTAACTGTGTACCCTCTGTTGACATTTTGATTCTCGCCTGCTGGTATATCTACTCCTTTACGGCTGCACTACTTGAAGCCTTGACCAACCTGACCGGAAGGAAAATCGAAAAATTGTCATCCAACCACAGTTGTATTATAACCGAGAACGCTCATATTTATACGTCAGGCTACTCGATCCTGTAAACACCGCCTGACGGATTTGGCAACCTGTCTTCCTCGTATGCCCACGCTCCATACTTGACTGTCCGCTCCGTGTGGCCATTTCACCTTCTTGCTCGGGCACGCCAGTGTTCATCCGTTTACCTGGGGCATAGCAAGCTACATGATATCTGATCCGCGATTTCGTCAGCTTTAGACTGGGCTGTGGCAACACGCTTGCGGGGTTTGTCCCAAGCACGCTTTGTGGCGAACAGACGTGCTTTGGAAATCAGCTTTCTCGCCCACCTGTCACATTGTGTGCTTTGCTTTGCTCCAAAATACTTCTCCAATATTGGCAGGGACCCACCCCTGCGCTAACGTTTGGTGGTGATCAGCTAGAAATGGTTCAGGAATTCAAGTACCTGGGCAGCAATATTAGCGCCTGTGGGATCGAAGATTGGATAACGAACCGTATATCAAGAGCTCGAGGTGCTTTTGCCAATCTCCGCCACCTGTGGCACAGATTCAACACCGCTCTCGCCCTGTAGGGCAAGGTTTATAATGCAGCCGTACCTTCAACCCTCTTATACGGTTGTGCAACCTGGCCCATGAGATGTACAGACATAAAGATTATTGTCACCTTGTATCTTTGCTGGCTTCACAGCTTAGCTCATATCTGGTGGGAGCACCGTGTGAGCAATGAGCGTGTTCGGCGTCGCGTATTTAGTGCAGGCAGAGCTAGTGAACCGCTCAACACCATTATATCACGCACCGAGCTGCTATGGCTTGGCCACGTGTTTTGCATGCCAGCACACCGACTCTCGCGACGTGCATTGTTTGCACGCCAGGGGCGCGGTTAGAAGAGGAGGATAGAAGGTGAAGCGATATCTTGGTCGAAAGGAATGCAAACCCTCACTTCAAGACTGGCGTCGGTTGGTGCATCCCGACTGCCTGGCTGTGGTCCTAAGGACGGTGAACATGTTTGGTGTGACACACTTGCTGATATGGCGAAGAGCCGGCCCCGGTGGCGTTTGTGTTGTGAGTTTCTTTGTCCACCCCCGCTCTTTAGGTTCCCACTTCAATCCCGATTTTATGCAAAACGCATAATATAATATTTAGCATCATCCTTGTTGTAGTGTTATTTGTGTAATGTGTAGTGCGACTTTTTAGTGTCTTATCTTTTGTATTGTGACACATTAGCTGAGGTGTTTCTCACCCTCAGTTAAAGTGTACTGATGATGACGACTGGGCGACATGCATGGAAGGTTGCAATGAGTAACACTGGTCAGTCTCAGTCCCTCTACTTGTGTACTGCTGCTGCTGCTTCTGTTGATGTTGTAAGTACTCTTAATATAACCCATAATCTGTGTGAATTCTTTTGTGGAAGATCAGGAAAATGGTTATTGAGCAATACAGCCAGCGCAGAAGAATACAGGCAGCCGCCCATTTATTCATTAAAGCACAGTGTACTGAACGCATTTTGTGTCTCAGCGCATAGCGTGTTACTTTTCTTATCTTGCTGAACGTTTCGTCAATGTATGTTGACCAGGGTAGATTATTAAGTAAATATACTAAGGTACCTAACGGTGGATAAACTGGGTATATTGTGGTCGCTCACGACCATAGGGCGAAAAGTATTGGTCCATATCAAAAGTTTTTCATTGCGGAGGAGAGACGGACTTGCAACGCTGCATTTGAAAGCTTTGGGAATAAGAAATCCGGATGACGATTAACGATGAAGCTCATCCATTCCACTTTGCAGAGCTGTAGACGTCTCAGCAGTTGAAGCAATACTGCCTAAGGTAACATCGTCAGCGTGCTTCCATCCAATAAAATTGGAGGAATGGGAAGGCTTTCGGTGTTTGGAGAATATACAAAGGGGTAGGATTGCGAAATATTTGCTCATTGTGTTGCATACTGCTGCTCGGACACCGTTCGTACACACCAAATTAATCACGATTGACCTACAGACACCTCCAATGGCGTTGGGAAACTCAAGAAATAGAAGCTGAACTGTCTTGCAGTTCGCATCCAATACATCTGCTATTGAGTGAACAGGGTATGCTGCGGCATCAAACGTGGAACGTCTTGGTTTGTAGGCACGCAGATACGCCCTCATCCCCGAAGTGCTTGTTGTGATCCAGGGCACATAAAGGACGTACAGACAATGTGACGGAAGTTCAGAGCATACTTCTTTGACACGGGCCTTATTCTGACAGGCCTCCAAATGTCAGAATAGCGTAACCGTGTCGGCAGCTATTGAAAACCTCTGTCAGAAGCATAGTGAGAGTATTGACGCGCTGCCACGAAACAACTGGTGTGAGTGTATCAAGCCCACTAGCCTTCCTTAAGCTCAACTTCTTGAGCTCCTGGCAGACTTAAAAGTGTTGGAATGTAATCGTCGAACCAGAGCCATAGTATAAAGGTGAGGGGAATTCATCCTATGGAAAAGATCGGAATTTAGTTGACCCACATCCACAGATCCAAGCTGCTCACTGCAACGTTTACCGCACAACTGCCTTAAAAGTCTCCACAGGTCACGATGGCTGTGGTTGCGTAAAATGGCTTCAACCTGCAAAGTATTCAGTCGAGAAATCTCAGCTCTTATTACTAAAGGTATTCGTTTGAGTCGGGCAGTCATTTTACATTTATAAGTATTTTTCACTCTTATTCAAGGTGTTGGTGAGTGGCATCTGTCTACTCGTAAAGCGCTGTTTTCGACCGGGCAGCACAGATCGAATCAAAACTTGAACTAGTTATTGAGGTTCTCAAACTGAACAGACAGATCTATGTCGTTGAAAACTGCAAAAGCGATAGAAGACAACATTGTCTGGTGTCTCAATTTTGTGTGTGGAGCAGTCTCGTCGCCTGACAGTTTTGAAGGGCTTATTAACCAATCAACCAGAGTGAGTCTTCCTGGTGTATGGGCTCCAAAACGACCTAGTTCTTGATTCGGAGTATACCAACCATATTGCTTTGGTTTGTGGCAGCTCACAAATGTGCCTAGCATCACTAGACAGATTAGCACTAGATGTCAAAAATTTCGTGCCGTACTTTGCGCCGTCTAAATGCAAAACTATTCTCCTTGTTTGACAAGGACCTCACACAGCACTGACCTTTGAGGTGAATCGGCTGCAAGTCGTTCAGCAATTCAACTATTGAGCAGCCATTATCCGGGCCTACGCGGCATCACTCTCGCAATGTAGGGTCTGGTTTTCAGTGCGTCTGTCTATTCATCACCATTGCTTCACGCACCAGGCTTCGATATCTGGGCGAAGTGTTACGCATGCCAACATACCTACATACGCGACGTTCATTATTTGCGCGACTGGGGTCCGCATGGAAGAAGAAAAGGTGTCAAGCGATTACTTGATCAAGAGGAATGAAGACACTTCGAGTATGGCATCCGGTTTTGATCCGGAAGATGATGAGCACGCTTGGTTTGATGCGTTTTTTGAAATGGCAAAGAACTGACCCCTATGACGTTTGTGTTATGAGTTTCTTTATCTCGCCGTTGCTCACTTGGCTTTCTAACTACAATCTCATCGTCGATGCATAATGTGGACAGGACCTTCTTCTTTACACCAAAAATCCCCTACTCATAAATCTACCAAATGTTTGCCCAGACAGTTCCTAAATGCTTTACGTACTTGACAAGGAAGTCATGTCTCTCGGAGCCAATCATGTCCTCTGAAACGTTCATAACCCGCATAGCACTGGAGGACAAGACGCGCTATATCGCAGTTAGCTTGCAAATCATGACGATCAGGAGCTGTCTCCCATGACTCAGTGGAATAACGTGTTGGCTAATAGTGCAAACCGCCAGTGGTCGTAAGTTTGAATCTTGGTGGATCCGATGGATGCGCACTACTGACGAGGCCCAACGGGTCGAAACCGCAGGCCAGTGCTTTTCCGGGCATGTAGATGACTATCTCGTTTAGATGCTACTGCGAAGAAACTCTCCGCAATACTATTGCTTTGTTTTGTCTCATTTTTTGTCTTTTCGTTCCCTTTTACTACCACCCAGCTGATATGTTTCTCACCTCTAGCCAACCTGTGGTATAAGTGAATGAGGTTGCTTAGCATATGAGTGACATTTCACGCTGGTATTGCTCGTATGTCACACACACCGCCTCTCGCATAATCTCATAACTCCTCGTGCTACCGCTGTTTCACCCGAGCTTTTCCGATCATATCATCCGCGACACTCTGAAACCTATGTCCAATCCGCTCGAATGTTGTCTGTCTTAACACTGCTTTGAACATCATTGCCTACATTATTACTTTCAAAACCGAAACCACACCTAACCCTACTTTTAGTGACAGCAGGAATTCCATTGAATCGTATCTACTGCACCACCACGCCCCTCATCTTTTTTGGCCTCTGCCCATTATGTCTAGGCAAAGCGGCGATGGATCGCATGGCCAGCGATATGGCATTCGAGCTGAAACGTCGCAAGGCAAACATCTGCATCATCAGTCTGTGGCCCGGCATCGTTCGTACCGAGCATCTGTCCTCAGCATCTGGAACCAATATCAGCTGGAACATGAGCGATAACACAATATGTGAGTGGTACTATTATTTTTCTCGCGGTGTTTTTCAGTGTATTTGTGGCTTACCTTACTTTCGGCTCACCTTTCTCTACTTTTCTAATCGAATCGGATGGACGTTGTTCCTTTTACAGTTATGGTACAAGCTGCATCTATCACTACGCTGCCAGCTACAAAAATCAACGTACCAGACTGAGCTACAGACGCTTGGCTCGTTCGCTAGCCGCGACTTGAACGCACTTAGGAGCGCATCTTTATAGTGCAGAGCTCTTATCTATTTCAGCTTCACTGGGTCTTCATCCTGAATAATCTGCTCATGTACTCACCAACGTTTTGTGCTGCGGCATTCCCGATTCGACGTAAGCTGATCTAACCGACTTGACTGAAGCCGACTGCTTGACACCAGTGCGCCAGTGATCAGTTTACTACCCCGCTGAACGCTACTCGGTTGCATAATGAAGACAACTCTACGAAAGAATATGATGTTCCTTCAAGATCGTCAGTCAGCGATGAATAGTTGCTGTGGCTCTCGAACGGTAGTGAGTGCAATTTATAGCTAGATGCAGTTAATTAATACTGACGGGGCAACCGCTTAAGTTTGTTCAATTTCCCTGCAACCGATGTATAATTAAATAGCTCGTATATTTCTTAATCTTGCGCGAAGTTTCTCCTAAACAGCGTCGGATCTAAGTCATTCAATTGTTTCATACCCTTGCATAAGAATAGTTTTACATCTTCAAATGCAGTGGTTAAGATGTCGGGACATTTGTATTGAAAGAATGAAAGTACTGGTTTGTGCTTGGATTTATTAACCTTATTAGGACTTGTTTTCTTTGTTGAACACAACCGATTCTTGTGGATGTTTCTAATGCTCATATTTCGTTCACTGCCCATCCGTAGTACATTTTGTTGGGAAATGACCGAAGTCAGTTGAGAAAAACATGTGTAATCAATATACCGATGTCACCATCGAAACATAAGTAAAAGCTTGATAAAGTGGCATAAGATTAGTTCTATGTACCCTTTTGGAAGGGGAACCAGCATTGGCAAGACTTGGCGTTCATCTCGTTCTGAGGACGCGCAGTTTACCTATATAAGAATAGCATACTTTGCCACTTTGCATGAAAAAGTAGTACTATTGTGCACAAGCGTATTGGGGAAGATGGCAGTGTAGAGGAGGGCCTGAACCTGTCAAAAATGAGTTATGCATATGCTGAGGATTAGGAAGTGGGGCCATTGAAAAGTGCTTTGTTTGCTATATATTTGCAGCATTCTGTGACGAAGTAGCAATTTCGATGCAGATATGATAAAGTTTGGTCGACAACTGATGTTGGAGCAGAGATAGTCGGTTGGCATTTCCTCTTCAGTTTGACCGTTTAGTCTTTAAAGCCTCTATTTAAGAATGGAACGGATGATGAATGCGTTGTTCAAAATTAATGCATTGTCCACACTTACACTAAACATTTGCTGGGTCTTTCTCATACCTTTCTAACTATTTGTTTCGTAATCCTAGAAATCACCAGAGTATTGTTTGTTAGGGCGGCACTTTGTGTTCAAATGCAGTGCATCGCTTTTGTTTCCTGGTATGATGAGTTGAACAGTACTCGAAGACATTGAAAAGACAAACTAGTAGCAGCAGTAGTAGTAGTAGTAGTAGTAGTAGTAGTAGTAGTAGTAGTAGTAGTAGTAGTAGTAGTAGTAGTAGTAGTAGTAGTAGTAGTAGTAGTAGTAGTAGTAGTAGTAGTAGTAGTAGTAGTAGTAGTAGTAGTAGTAGTAGTAGTAGTAGTAGTAGTAGTAGTAGTAGTAGTAGTAGTAGTAGTAGTAGTAGTAGTAGTAGTAGTAGTAGTAGTAGTAGTAGTAGTAGTAGTAGTAGTAGTAGTAGTAGTAGTAGTAGTAGTAGTAGTAGTAGTAGTAGTAGTAGTAGTAGTAGTAGTAGTAGTAGTAGTAGTAGTAGTAGTAGTAGTAGTAGTAGTAGTAGTAGTAGTAGTAGTAGTAGTAGTAGTAGTAGTAGTAGTAGTAGTAGTAGTAGTAGTAGTAGTAGTAGTAGTAGTAGTAGTAGTAGTAGTAGTAGTAGTAGTAGTAGTAGTAGTAGTAGTAGTAGTAGTAGTAGTAGTAGTAGTAGTAGTAGTAGTAGTAGTAGTAGTAGTAGTAGTAGTAGTAGTAGTAGTAGTAGTAGTAGTAGTAGTAGTAGTAGTAGTAGTAGTAGTAGTAGTAGTAGTAGTAGTAGTAGTAGTAGTAGTAGTAGTAGTAGTAGTAGTAGTAGTAGTAGTAGTAGTAGTAGTAGTAGTAGTAGTAGTAGTAGTAGTAGTAGTAGTAGTAGTAGTAGTAGTAGTAGTAGTAGTAGTAGTAGTAGTAGTAGTAGTAGTAGTAGTAGTAGTAGTAGTAGTAGTAGTAGTAGTAGTAGTAGTAGTAGTAGTAGTAGTAGTAGTAGTAGTAGTAGTAGTAGTAGTAGTAGTAGTAGTAGTAGTAGTAGTAGTAGTAGTAGTAGTAGTAGTAGTAGTAGTAGTAGTAGTAGTAGTAGTAGTAGTAGTAGTAGTAGTAGTAGTAGTAGTAGTAGTAGTAGTAGTAGTAGTAGTAGTAGTAGTAGTAGTAGTAGTAGTAGTAGTAGTAGTAGTAGTAGTAGTAGTAGTAGTAGTAGTAGTAGTAGTAGTAGTAGTAGTAGTAGTAGTAGTAGTAGTAGTAGTAGTAGTAGTAGTAGTAGTAGTAGTAGTAGTAGTAGTAGTAGTAGTAGTAGTAGTAGTAGTAGTAGTAGTAGTAGTAGTAGTAGTAGTAGTAGTAGTAGTAGTAGTAGTAGTAGTAGTAGTAGTAGTAGTAGTAGTAGTAGTAGTAGTAGTAGTAGTAGTAGTAGTAGTAGTAGTAGTAGTAGTAGTAGTAGTAGTAGTAGTAATCAAAATTAACTGATGTAAGCGAGACGCTATTCGGGCCACAGTGTGTGGACGGTCTGATCTTAACATGAGGCTGCCGGATTTTGTCTGGTGTTAACTGTACGTGAGAACAACTAGCGATTGATGTAGTCAGAGGCTTTTGTAGAATAGGCAACGAGTCTCGGAATTAGGAATTTCAAGAATTAACTTCCCTTAAGATTGCTTCTGTGTAGCTCCGACAGGTGACAGTTATCATTATAGTTAACGAAAAGATGTTTCGTGTGTCTTTATTTCCCCGTAATGTGGTCCATTTAATGTCTTGACTGTGTTGGCGCTGTTAAGTGCCGGCGCATCTGCACTTAGCTTAGCTTCCGTTTGTCGCAATAAGCGCAGCACCCTTGCAAGACCAGGATACCGGTCAACTTCGCACCTGATCCCCAGCTATATGCATCTTGATGAGACAACGGCATTTGCAACGGTTCTGCAACGATATATTTACCACAGGTTTGTTGGTAGCTTGTTTAGAACAAGAAGTGGAAGCAGTAGGCATCAACAGTACGCCGGTACGCAGTGCGGACGCTTCGCTGCCGTGTAACCACCACCATTGGACTTCATCCGCTTATCTTAAACTGCTTATCGGCCATCATCTCGCATGCCGTGCTGGATCTGTTCAACAGATCGCTGTCCGACGGTTCACTGCCGAGGGAATGGAAATGTTCGGTTGTGAAGCCGATTCCAAAAGGCGGTGACCTACGCAATGTGGATAGTTACCGGCCGATTTGGCTCACCTCTGTTTTGCCGAAGGTGCTCGAGAAGATTGGGAAAAATGGTCTTCATCTGCTGGAGTCGAAAGATCTCCTAACACCGGCACAGCATGGCTTCATGAAGGGCCGTTCGTGCATCACCAACCTGCTGTTGACGCATCAGGAATGGTTGCAGGTGTTGAACCGGAAGAAATCAGTAGATGTTATCCGCATTGATTTCAGCAATGTTTCCGAGTCGGTGAACCATGGGGTCCTGCTCCACAAGTTGAGGAGTTGTGGTGTTGCTGGCGCACTGCACCAGTGGATCAGTGATTCACTTATTGGGAGAAGCTGGCGGGTACAGGTGGATGACCACCTAACGGACTGGTACTACTCCACTAGCGGTGTACCCCAAGGCACAGTGCTGGGACCAATTTTATTCCTGATCCACATAAAGGAAGTGCCTCATCTTCTTCGGTCTCCTTGTGCACTGTTTGCAGACAGTTTGGATGGTTATTGATTCTCCCGACGACTGTGACCTCCTTCAGCAGGATCTCGACCGCCAATCCCGGTGGTCCTCAGATGTTGACCTACTGGTCAACCCGGCCAGGTCCTCGTTTATGAGCCTGGGTAGGAGTGATAATGGACTTGCGTACACCCTGGCCGTCAACCCTCTGCATCCCACCAATTCAGTAAAGGATCTAGACCTACTCTTACGCTGTGATCTGAAGTCTGTCGACAACACCAACTGACTGTACGTAAAAGGACTACGTCTGCTTTGGGCACTTAGACGCAGCTTTTGCACTTGGTTTGAAGAGATTGCCATCCTTCTTTTTCATGATAAGACCGGTACTTGAATACGGCTCACCCGCCTATTGTCCGATCGCAATAGATGAGGTGCAGAGATCGGAACGTGTCTAGCGTGTAGCTACCCGGCTCATCCACCGTTTACTGGGTATGTCATATGAGGAGCGATGCAGAAGACTTGGGCTGTATGCCCTGTCATATCGTCGGCTTCCAGTTGATCTCATTATTGCGTACCGACTGTTGCACCTGGGTCACTTCTATGCTGAGTCCGCTGCTTCACGTTCGCGCACCAAGCAGCACACACGGACACCGGTGCCAACTAATGGTGCCTGATTTAAAGCGCATCGCTTACTCTATGCTTCGAGCGTCGAATGGTGAAATATTGGAACAAGTTGCCGGAGACGCTAGTCGAGGCGAAATCGATGTCGGAATTTGAGAAATTCCTCGATGCCCACTGCGGATTACAGGTATAGGGAACGCATCACACCCGGATAAGGTGTAGTGCAGCTGCAGTATGCACAGGAATCAACGACTTGATTCTGCGCATGTGCCCGATCCACCTACGATGGAGCAACACAGATTTTTATCTTTCGTTCTCCATTCTCAGTATTTAGTATTCGCTCGTGGGATAAGGACACTGTGTGGTTCGCCCTGCTCCTACGCAGACTCGAACCCACGCCGTTAGATTACACGACAGGTTTGCTACCTTTAGGCTACGGGCTGGCGTTAGCTTGTTTAACCAACTTACTGAGAATTGCGCCGCTCGGTGTTTGCGTTCGTATTTTTTGTCTCACCGGTGTTTTCACTATAATAGGAACCTCCTCATTACTGGATCAGCTCCGATTATCGCGACTGCCGTGCCACGCTTCGAAAACGTGAGTCAAAGTGAGGCTTCTTTGTTTGCTAACGGAGTACCTGCATGCATTTGTTCACGAACGATGTCGGTATCTTGCGTCAGTCTATGCCAAGGCAAGGGATATCTTCACATGTGTCTCATAGACAGATTTCAGTGGGTGTTACTTAGCTCTTGAATTGCGGGTTTGCATAACTTAATGGGCGTTTTCTTACCAGCATCTCATAACTCGGCCTCCTTTTCCTCTGGACAACATCCATTTCTGGCCTGCCTCCGGAGGTCACCGGTTGGAATCCGCATAGATGCGGGTGACCTCGTGGCATACTCAGCCGTCATGCGACTGGTGGTGTTCGCATGGCAACGAAGCGTCGGTACGGTTTGTCGGCATACTGCAGTTGCATTTTCGCCTTCGATTAGTGCTGCGGTCTGTGTAACTTCTGGCGCTTTCTACGTCCTGCAAAATGTAGCGCCGCTAGCACCGCTGTCTCAGTCTGTTGTCTAATCTGACTATGTCGCTTTCTAGACCAACCGCATCCTCCCAGTGTTTGCAATTCGGCTTTTCCGGAGGGGTACCCATCCGAGCGGTAGATTCATAGCCATTGACGTTTGCATTAATATGTAGCCAGCAACCTAGCGTCGTCGCATGAACTGGGTTGCGAAATACATTATGCAAAACAACCAGTATCAAATTAATTATTCTTCGAAATTTTGTCTCAGTGATCCGAGAGGAGTGGGGGATTCGCATAGTTTGCTTTGACTCGAGGCGCGCCGCCTCACTGGACGTTCGAGGTCACCACCATTCGAGCATAACGTGCAGTCCGACCACCCCCACCATTTCTGGCATGTTTGTATTGGGTGTCTTCACCGCGTATTACTAACTTTAAATTAACCAGCACACAAAGTGTCAGTTCTGCTCGTATCCACTTCTCGTTGTGTGCAACTCCCTGCTCATGTCTCCGCTGGATTGTTTACCGAACTTGTCAAGTCAGACGGTAACATTGTGACTTTAATTCATCACATGCTTACTGGCTACCGAACAGATGTCATGCTACGGAACATATTTGTGGCACTGTGCTACAGCAGTGTATTTGCGATTCATTTGCAATGTGTTATGATCGGAAACTTGTTTGACGTCGAACTAAAACTATAAAGCCTCATTGAGTGAACTACTTTGATACCATTATCTTGCGCGCTCTATATTGAAATTGTCAATGGTAGCAGAGATCCAGTGCTTCACGTCATGTTCGCCCTTTACTGTTCTTAAACTACTCTGTGCGAACTATCGAGGTGGGAGCGTCGAGCGCGTTCTGTATACTTCTGACCATCGATAGTCGCGTCATTACTTGGTCGAAAGCGTAGAACTAATTATAATAAAACGTAGAAAAAATGATATGGTTTCTTTTTAAGACAGATTTGTTAGGCTGGAATTACTGGCTTCTGCCTAATCTACGTAGTTTTTCTCCCTCATGTATTAGAAGTGTTAGGTTCTAGGAAATTGTTTGAGGTACAATGGCTGAGGTGTTTTCCACCTCTAGCTGACGTGTATAATGATGATGATCACCCAGCTAGACGCAACAATAACATCTAGTTCCCACCTAGCAAGGCAATAACTCGATATATGGCGAATATGACCCGCGCGTTTCAAGTTTTGCTGATACACCAGTAGGACACCAGAGAGTTTCTTGCCGCACATCGGCTGACGGGTATCTGCACTGTTCACTCGGTGTTCCCACCAGATGTTATCCGCGAGGAATCAGGGACCAATCTCTTAGGTCTCAGCGCGATCTGACTCATACAATTACACCGTTTAGCGTGTTGTTGTGCTCTGCGTTTGTCTACTAAACGGACATCTCGTTGTCGCCATGTATTATCGGAATTCTGGAAATCCACGCGAATTTTGTTGATACTTGACGCAATCATCTCAGCCTTGTAGCCACTATAGCTTACACAACCACCAAAGCAAATCAACATAGCAACCGACTTCAGTGCTTATTCGGTGGTGACTGAATCCGATGGTGTGTTCTTCCACTCCTACGGCAGTGTCCTGCAATTTGAGGACACCAATCACATGTCCAAACTGGAATCAATACACGCCAGCCCATCTTGTAACGCTTACGTAGCAATTGAGTCCAGCTCATAGGGAGCTGTGTTATCCGTCTACTCGGAACTTGTCAGCTGATAACTCGACATAAATAAATAAACGTTTTATTCCTCAGCAGTGCGAGGCAAAGACCAATTGGGTGGTCTTATCAACATGTACAACGTGATCGCATAATATAGTTAATTGTTCGTCTTTTGATCAAAGGTTCCCATATGGGTTTTTGAAATGATTAGCAGTCAATAGGCCAGTCACAATTTGATGGAAAATCTTGGCGATTGACGACGATGGTACAGAGACATCAGTTTGAAAGGTATAGTGCATCTACGAACCAGTGCGTCAAAGGAGAAAACAGAATTGGTTAGACGGATTAACAGGAGTAAGATCGTTCTCAAATATATACTCAAGAATGCAGTTATATGTAAGTAATCTTATATTATTGAAACGAATAAAGGATATGGTGACTTTCATACGTATCCAGGACCTTTCTCATACAAATCATCTAGAGTCACCGTTTGGCTTAGTGTTGACCAGATGTTTGCAACAGTCAGGTGAATATTAATCATGCGTCTGAATTGTGCATAGGTAGTGCAGTTTCTAACACTTCGGAGAACGGAGTTTTTTGTAACCGTAAATTTGAAGAGGTTGGGACATATAGGATAACTATAGTGTTATTCTGTGGACCACATCCTGCGCTTAATGTAAGTCGTGGTAGGTATATTTTAGAATGGACTTTCTCCATTCTACTTATGTTGTGCCAAACAAACGGGCTTTTCATGCGACCAGCGACATCGTCGGATACTGCCTGTCATCATTTCAGACCCCTTGGATCACATCCCATTCGCTTTGCAACAAATTTACTCATAGCATTGTCGAGCATTTTGTTGTCACCTCCTTTCTTATGTGCTCACTTGGCGAATTAGTTCAATATTAGATTATGCGTCCGCTTCTCATTCTGACCCTCTGGATTACTAGACCTCTCAAACCTGTTTATTGTTCCGGTCTGACCATTAACACAGTTCGTCTGTTGTTCTGTTTACAGTGCCACTAATGGTTTTTCCGGTACTGTGCATCTGCTGTCTACTTGCTTCCCCGCTCTTTTCTGTGCTTTGCAGCTGAGTCCCCAGAACTTTCCGGTCGTGTAATCGCTGCACTGGTCTCGGAGTCACCGCGCAAACTTATGGCTCGTTCGGGCGAAGTGGTTTTAGTGTGTGATGTCGCCCACGAGTATGGCATACGCGAACCAGAAGGCAACTGGCCTCCCAACTATCGTTCCCTGCAACTACTCATGCGCTTGGGTGGTTACAACAGACTGAGTGCTTTTGTGCCTGGCTTTATCCGTTTGCCGAAATCCACATTCATGAATTTTGTCGCATGGCATGCAGAACCTACCTAACCATGCTTCTGGTCCGATTGTGATAATACTTTTTAATCGGATTCTCGATAATTCTGCTTTTAATACTGATTTGACACTACTGTTTCGTTGACCACTCTTTCTTGCTATTTTGTTACTTTAACGCAGAGTGTGGGTGCTTTAAAATTATTTGCTGACCCGTTTCTTGTTTCACTTGTTTCCTCATTCAATTCGTCGATCCTTTTTGCCGATCAATTTCTTGTTTTGAGCCGCTCATCGGCGTTTTGTTAGCTTCTTCTTGCTCATTGAAGTTTCCCAATTCGATCCCTTTGTTTTCAGGCGTTTAATGATGGTTTGCTACCTAGGGAGAAAAAACAATCTGATATGGTTGTTGTTACAAACGCTTTTGGTTGTTCATTCTTTAGTACACATCGTGTGTGTTTTCGGCTTTCCAAGCAACTATCTGAATCACCCATGACATGTCTAATCTGAATCTTTTCCGATCCTTGTTATGACGGAACCATTCATGGTTGTTCAATTCAGATTGTCAACTATGACTCCTCTACTGAGGTAAGATGGATCCAGCTGCCTGGACTCGTACGTCAATGTAATAATATTAATTCATCGAAAATGGGCAAGAAGCACGACTGCCAAGTGGGATACTGATGAGTCACAAATGGGAGAGGAACTACCAGACCCTCCACTGATTTCCTGATCTCGCCGCGTACTACATAACGTGTGTAGCCTCCATTGATTCTGAGGACTCCATCTGGGAACACGAACAGCAGTAACTTGATTCAGCATTTCAGTGTGTTCCTTCGTGCTCTTTTACCATGTCACATTGACTGATGATTACTGCGTGATTTCACCCATTGAGGTGCGGACATGCTTAACACCTAACCGAACTAGGACTTATTGCCAAAAATTACCGGACTAACTTACTAGGCTCTCTCACTAGATATGGGGTGCACTTTGCAAGCATCACATCTGTCTTGATTAAGCAGCGGCCAGATTTCTGGTCCATTCACCGACCAAGTTCGCTTCCTGTATTAAACAACCTCGCATCACCCAGTCCCCTTACTTGACGCATGCGTGCAACAACCCTTCGATGATGTAGCCACAAGTTGTGACACAAGTACCCAAACTAACAAACTGATCGACCAGTTCGAGTGGCTGATGGGTGATAGCAAGAACCAGCAGCTTATCGGCCAAATCATGCAACATTACCTCGCACTTGAAAGGTGCAAAGTTCCTTCCAAAACGTGTGGTGCCAGACCTCAGCCTGCTCAGTGACGTTTATATGGGAACTCTGTCCGACCCAAAAATAACACTGCCATGTGCTGATCGCTGGCAGGTTACGTGAATAACACCGATGCCACTTAGCGCCGCGAGCGCAAGCTGATTACGCCTACGCGGTCCTGGACAATGGCGAGGGAATTGGCGGCGCCTAACACTCACGGTGAGCGAACTGCGCATGGTGCGCTGATGATTGATTGACGGGGCCAGCGAGTGGAAAACCAATCAGCTTCGTCGGTGCAAGCTGACCACATGTGCACGGACCGGATACACAGCTCATAATTGGTTTGTGGTATGGCGAATAAACCGCAGTTCTGACCCAGCCAATAGGGGATTGGTCCAAGCCTCAGTTAAAGGAAGACGAGCACGAGCTTATGGACCCAGGCAGCTGGCTGTCGGAATCAGGCAGTGAAAATGCCTCAAATTTGTGTACGATGTGGAATTAACATTTGTCCTTTATTAATAGATCTTTGGTTCACTGCTCAGTCTTCGTTGTGATTCTCATAAGTCTGTCTGGACATACCTTCCAAACGTTCTAGATCTAGCACTCGATCGGCAATCAGGTTAGATCTCAAAAGTGGTAAGCAACTGGATAGAGACATTTCTGCCAAACAGGTAAAGCGATTTGGGGTTATGTTGCTGCCGTGACGCATTTCACTTGTCCTAATGAGCTCAGTGTGAGTCCCTCCTGAATGTACACGGCCTTAGTAGTAGAAAGATTTCGGAAAAGAGTGAACTTCCCGTCACCCTTGTAGGATACAATCGACAGAATCAAAGACACTATTCAAGTCTGCAAAGACTGGTATGATGAGTTGTTTTTAAGGATGATGATGTATAATCACGCAACGAGGAGTACAGATGTGGTAAGTGCATCTCCTGTCGATGTGAGATCCGTTTGGGTTTCACTGATTCCTCTCTCACACGGACCAGTACTATGGTGCGACTCCCTCATGTTAGATGCACTCGATGCTTTCAGTGGAAAAATGTTCGAGCTGGGCTCAGCCGCCACGAATTCTGTTCCGATCATGCGCGAATTAGCTTTCATCCACTTATTGAGCAATTTATTACCCACATTTGGCGGAGTTCATTCTTTACGGATGCTTTTGTTTCCGTGGTTGTAAGGCCAGAGCTTGGCATCGTACTAGAATGTCAATCAACCTATGGGATCGCTTAGGCCTGTGGTCTGCGGTGATGAATATAGTTTATCTAACTAATGCAACTATGACTTAAGCAGGGCAATGCGGTGAATCTATTTGCTTGAGCTCGCGACTCAATAACAGTGATGGTGGTGAATAAAGAAATCAAGAATAAGGAAAGTGAAAAACGAGGTTACTCACCACAGAGTACATAGTCATCTCCATTGATGATTTGTTTGAGGAATTGAACTAACTGGCCGATCGGAGGAGCACAGCGGACTTCACAACTGTCTCATCTCTGATGGGATGTTTGGCGGACCATGTGACTGGTCGTTATGGTCTATTGTGGAGGACGATGCGCATCAACATCGGCCGTTGGTTGTCACACTGTTCGATGAGCTTAGTAGTTTTGCTGCAATCGTTTCGTGACCAACCGAGGTTACATCATCAGTGCGTCGTTGTGGGACGGTACATTTGTAACAAAATTGCAAAGCCCCGCGAACAGACGGACTACTATCTGAACAATGTAAGCCACCGACCTTTGTGTCTAACCTATCAGTTCTTCGGTGGGCTTTGGCATTTCTTCCCCCATTTTATCTATTGACCCTCCTAATACATCACCGAACAATACACAACCCACGGATGCAAATAGTTTGCAGTCGTGCAAAGGTTATAACTTGACCTATTCATCAGTCTTCAGCATTATCCATCTGGCACACTCGCGATTTTTCAAAGACCACCACATTGCTGATCCATGTCATGGAACTAACGACGCCCCCAGTGTGCACATCATATCACTGTATTCCGTCGGAGTTAGTGGCGCTCAAGTCGCATGGGAGTTGGAAAACCCACCGCGCATCTGAGGCGCTATAAATCGAAATATTCCACCTAATGAAGAGCTAACGAGTCTGAGTTTGATTAATTTATCATTCTCAAACTTCATACTCCTTCCTTAAGCCTCTGTTTCAAAACTTCCCAAAAGCATCGCTATTCTCACTCTCTCCGTTGCACTGTAAACTTCTATGGCATGGACGACAATCTGGGACTGTCTCTGATGAACTAACTTCCGCGTTTCATTCAAATATGTCTCCATCTCAGCAGGATGAACAATCTTTTGTTGCCTGAGAATCATTTCTATCGAAAGTTTAACTAACCAATTTGTTGATGTTCCGGTTCGCATTGTTTTTGTTGCTTCCGACAGTTGAACACGCAATCTCGAATCATGGTGTTTCTTTGCTACCGCGAAATTGAGTACTATTCAAGTGCTAGCGTAGACGACCTATTTTTGAATGGAATTATCAACCAGATCCGCAGGTTTGTAGTGATATACATCTCCTATATTTGATTACGGCCTTATCCAGTTCGATCCTTGGAGAGATTCTCGGTCCTTGATGCCAAGCAACTTAACAACTATACTTCCTCTGGAAAGTTAAAACTCCTGTTATGGGTGATGTAATCGGCACACAATCGCCGACTTGGTGACAGAGCCTGAAACCCGCTTCTGGCACTGTTCAGCTGCTTGGCATTATTCCTGCGGCAGCGATCGCAGCTTCAATGGCCTATGTTTTGACTGCAATTATTTGCATTCCCCGTACCTCTCTAGACCGTAATGAATGTGAACCTGTGTCAGAACAGATACAACGCGACCTAATAATACCCATTCTCCCCATAAATTGAACAAAAGCGCGGTGTTCGTGCAGATTCATTTCAGCGTATTGTAACAACTAAGCTCTGTTGGCTATCGAACCGGTGTCATGTGATGTTTGTTTTCCTCGTCCCCGGTGTTGGTTGTCAATGTTTCACTTTCGTCGTGAATACGTCTCCCTCACAAGCCATACACATCAACCTTTATGGCGCTTACAATCATAGCAAGCGTTACCTGTTGACCGACCTAGCATGACATGCGCTCTTTGACGAGCTATTGCGAGATGCGATTCGTGCCTTAAAAGACCATTCTATTTTTCTGCTGCATGTTTAGGTTTGAGGGGATTACATGGATGTATTGGACAATAGAGAAGAGGATTTAGAAATTTGTGATCGATTTGTTCACTGTGCTCGGCGATTCTTTTGCCTATTATGTTTCATCACCAACTGGGTTTACATCATTAATGATTTGTGTTGTAGCTTGGGTTTTCATGGGCTATCGCAATGAGAGTGGACCTTCACGTGGTGCGATAGTTTGCGTACGTACGTGACCCAGCGAGCTACGATGGACTGCACTTTTCAAGTGCTTTCAGAGCAACTTATACCGGGGGTTAATTGTCAGACCAATTCAGTCGCAGTCTCCTCGAAGGTTGTGGAGAGTTCGATGACCCTTTTCCTCCAAAACGTAGCCATGGGACACAGCAGGTGACTGATTACGACTTCGCCTCTCGATTGCCATAGAGCACGCATTGTCCTGACGTTGGGATAGCAACACCCAGTGCTCAATGGTTTGGTCCCACCCGCATCAAGCCAGACAGCCTCTGGTCGAATTAATAAATTGATCTATTTCTCCTTGAACAGGATAGGTTCACTTTTGTGGATCGATCCTTTGTACAGCGTGTTTCGTAAGCCTTCGATTTATGAATTTTGTATTCAATATTGACCAGTACTGCAATGCCTGGTAGA